GGGGGGGGGGGGGGGGGGGGGGGGGGGGGGGGGGGGGGAGGGGGGAAAGGGTCAGCCTCTTTGCTGTGGGAAAGATGGAGGTCAGGGGTAGAGAGGGGAGGAGACGAGGCCCCCGGGGTGGAGGAACAGGAGGAAAAACAATAACAAGGGAGGGAATATCAGGCTTCGACAGGGGGCAAATCTCTCATGACATCATCTCTGAAATGATGTCATTGCCGAGGTTGCGACCTGGCTTGCTAGTCCAGAGCAGACGAGGGATGAGAGGTTAGAAGTAGAGAGAAAGAGGGTCATACACACTCTCCAACATCGGAGAGGGGACGGTTGCATCATGTGTGTGGAGGGCCCCACAGAGATCAAACAAGCGTGGTTGTGAGTGTGTGTGGATGTGCACTGAATGCGTATGCGAGAGGAGGCCCTACTAATTAAAATATATACAGATGAAAGAGTTTGATTGGCTGCTGCTTGTTGGGAAATGTATTTTGTCGCAATTCACATGCCTGTCCATTCTCACACAATAACCCTGAGAGATGGGGAGACATTCATTGTATACTGTGCATAAGTCTATATGTGTGGTTTGCTGTGCACATTAGTAGTTTTCCAACAGATACGATAACATCTGTGAGGGAGAAGGACAGAGTAAGAGCGAGAGCATCTGTTATGTACTGTATATGTATATAGTCAGTCATCTGTAGAGCAGACTAGAGGCCACTTACATGCTGCATTTCATGAACTGTCAAAACTTCAAACGGCGGAGCCACTGACTACCGCTCTTCCTGGAGCTTTTACTGTGGGACACAGGAAACAGACCATAGAGGTTAAATCACAGCTTTGACAGCTGAACTGCCACCACACGCCGGAGAGAGGGCGGTGAAATGAGCAGAAGACTTCAGCTTATAGCTACTCCTTTGGCTGGTTTCTTGAGACAGGAAGAGAGGGTAGTCATGATTCAAAACATTTCAATGACGAATTGGTTCTTGGTTGTAAATCACTGTGCACACAAGTGTAAAGTAAGTTATCTGGAGGGAAGTTGGGTGTTTGATGATTTCAACCAAATTGGTTCAGGAATATATATTGTGTGCAACTTATGTGGGTTTTGTAAGGCTAAATAGATACTCTATTGACTGACATTCTACTGAACTTGCCTCCTAAACATACCTAACCTGAAGCTTAATATTTGACCATCTTAACTAAAGTAGTTGTGACAGTACAGATGGGCCTTTAATATAGTGAATAGAATAGTCTACACCCACGCTGTACGCATGCTTATGTGATGCCAAGCAGGTATAATGCTTCTGGGGACTATGAATATATTTAGAAAATGTCATGGCAATCCAGCCACCTTCAGTCTGGAGGAAGGCGGTGGACCGATCGACCTACTGACATTGAAATCCTTAGAGCCAAGCTGCTAACATAGCTAATAAAAGCTAAGCATTAAGTGTAACACTTTTAAACATTGGGAACAGTGAGCATAGCCTTCAGTTTGGAGCAACTGGCACAAATCACAAGTGAAAAGCCACTTAACTTTCACTTGATCCTCGGTTTGCATGCAATGACCTCCTTCTTATGCCAGGTGGTTTCCAGCAGGTTCCTTGGCTCATGCGCAGGTCGGCCTCTGTCACCTCACAGAGAGCGTGAAAGGGGATGAGTTCTGCTCTTGATCTGTCAGCACCTGCAGAGCCCAGATTCTTCTATCTGTTGCCATAGAAGGACACAAAACTGACTGAGGATTCATGGGTGAGATTACACCTATATATGCAAAACACAGACAGGCGCATACTGTGTAAAGGCCCAGATCCAAAAACATTCGTTTCTCAACAAACATATTAGCGCCATCGCCTACGGATACACGCATAACTGCTCATGTCTGGTATTAGTTTTGACATTCACTCTTTCAGGTGAGATGGAAGCATGTCATCATCTCGTCTTCATCAATGTGATCTCCTCCCGCCATCTGGGTGAGAGTGAAGAGAGAAAAATCAAAGGTCTTGTGCCAAACACCTGCAGGAATGCAGAGGACTGACTGGTAGCCATCAGCCATTAACACCTTCTGAGACAAGAGAGGAGTTTATATGTCAAGAGGTTGAAATATTTAAGTGGCGTGACGGTATGTGCAAATGATTAAAAGAAACGGCTCACATGTAAAGTCACGCACACAAAATGAAAAATGCAAACCTGAAACTGAAAACTAAAATGATTGTTTTCTTGTAATTTTAAAGCCTTACAACAATGACACATTGTTCCACCATCTGTCAGCAGATCGTGTACACACAGTATGTGTAGACCTTTTGTGTTTGTCTTTAAATAGTTTGATGTGCACTTTGTATCTGATTCCTCTCTTTTAACACCACATTAGTCTTGTGTACTGTACACTATCACAGACGCTCTTGCTTAACACTAAATGCTTTCTCTTGTTGCTGCAGTGCCTCCAAGCAAATTCCCCAGGAAACATGGGATGAGATGTTGTTCCATGATGAAAAAAATGGCCTCTCTTGTGAATTGCACCTGTGTATTTGCTTAAGAAATGTGTTTTTATGTCTTGCACGCACACTTTAGTTCCCTAAGAAGAATCCACATTCAAACAACTTTCTTAAACCTACAATGCCTTCGGAGGACTGGATATACTGTACACAGCCAATTTGTACATAGTTATTTCTTCCTTAGAAACAGAGCCACTGACCACTGCAGCCAAATACCACTGACATCATGATTTTGACCTTTGCGTGAAAGAAATTCAAGAGTGCCAATTTGTAGGCTATCAGTGACATCTGACTGTTAAAGTATGCATTTTAAGAGCTGCACTCCGAGATCTGGATGGCTCCTTCGTACAGTAGCCAAACCCACTGATCCCACTTGGCAAAGAAGACTGCTGGTAATATGAATCAATGTAGATGTTTACTGTAACTTACAAACTGACAGTCAACATGTCGCGTTTCAAACTGAATTCATTCGCAGAGATGTTGGGTTGTGAAAACCAAAGTTTGTTATAGGGTTTACTGTATCTATACAGTTCCATGCAAAAGTCAGGGCATAGCACTTTATAAACCTATTGCTGTGGTTACATATCCTTGTCCCAAATCTTCTTCACCTCAAGGGAGACATCCAACTCGTTCGGATCTGCTTTCCTCATCACATGTAGACTTAGCAAGCAACCCTGTTCAAGTTCAGTTTCCCCTCGAGTGGAACTACAGCAGACTGTCTCTACTGTCTCCTGTGAGATTATGGTTTTCGGTAATATCCTTTGCACTTTTAAAAAATGGAAATATAATTGAATTTGCACCAAACATACACTGACCTTGATTTTGTCTGAGATACATGTAAATGCTACTATTTCTTTATTCCCTTTTACCCAGAAAGTTTACAACAGTCTGTAGTTGTTTTCCCCCCAAACATTCCATGTTTTATGAAAGCATGTAAATTGGGGGTGGGTTTTGCAAAACCCTCCTCCTGTGGCAAGGGTCCCACCCCCTTCACAGTGTCCAAAGTGGGGCAGCACACACACTCTCATACACACATCCCTGCCTTATATGGATAAGGTGACATCACTCAAGAGGTCCGATGGTGCTCAACTGTATTTATTCACCTTTCATTGTCCTGATAACATGCCTGGAATGTGACGGTGGAGGACTTGTGGAAAAGGAGGCCCCAGCTACTTCTTATGCATTCTCAGTGGATTTTCTAAATTGGCAAAAATGTTTATGTGCTGACTGTGGAGCATCTATAGTGGGTAAGTTTTAAATAGGGTTGTTGTAAAGTTTCTGAGATCTTGTGACTTTGTCCACAGTCCTGAATATTGAACATTTAGAGGTTGTTTAAGCTGTAGTTGCACAATTTGCATTGATGTGCTGGTGCCTACATTAATTTGGTTTATTTTGCAATGCAAAAATGGGCATGCTGAATAGGGTATGTCCCTGGGAGTGTCAAAGGAAAAGATGCAGCTTTGCATTCAATCTGCTTTGCATGCATTTTGTTGGAGCCGGAGATGAGAATGGGCATGAGCAGCATAGAAAGAAGCTGAGAGAAAAGAAGACACCTTGGTGAGTGGGTGAAGCTTTAACTAGCAATTTGTGTTCTTAGTCTCATCCCCAGTAGGGATGGGAGTATTTGGGAGTTTTAGTGTTAATATTTGTCAGTTTTCCCTTTTGATCGTATTGCTTCTTCTGCATAGTAGCATGGCATTTATGATATTTCTTTCATGCACAATATACTCTGTATATATTATATATATTATGTATTTTTTTCTCAGACAGATAGAAATGGCTTCAAGTGTTGGACTCAGCAGCCAAATATGTTTTGTGTGGTAAAATTGTCCATTACTGGATTTCTGTGAGGGATATTTTAAATGTGATTAATTTAAAAAACGTATCTTGAGTGTGTGTGGTTTGAGCTTACAATTACTATAAAGATAGATCACTTTGACACTCAAACCAGTCTTATAAAATGCATGTAAAGAATTGGGATGATTACTCTCCAGCATTGAAACATTAACTGGGATAAAACATAGCTTCCTGGAATACATGTTATTCATATTTCCATGACACAATGAGGAACACAGACACAGTTGCTGGCTTTTAAATCAATAAAACACCAAATTAATGCTTTGCCTTTGTTTGTTTCACGTTTTAGACTGAAGAGGTTGCTTGAGAACGAGAAAGCCTATCAGGTAAGAAAGGAGAAGGAGCACTCTAAACGTCTGGCCAAGGTGCAAGAAGAGCTGGTCAAGCTGAAGTCCTTTACGCTGATGTTGGTCAATGAGCGTCAGCAGCACCTGGAACAAATGGACCAACAGAGCCAGCGGGCCCAGGAACTCAGCCAGCAGCTCCAGCAGTGGGAGCAGGCACTGAGTGAAGCCCGGGAGCGTGCTCAGGAGGATGGCCAGAGGGTGCTGAGCCTGGAGGCTGAGCTTAAAGAGAAATCCACCAAACACACCCAACAACACGAGGAGATGAGTGCCAAGCTGGCCACTCAGGATATCCACAATCGTCAACTTAATGCCAACCTTCTTGGGCTTTCGCGTAAAGTGGAGGAGCTAGAGGAGAGCAACAGGGCCTTGAGGAAATCTGAGGAAGAGTTGCAGGAGCTGAGGGAGAAGATTGGCAAAGGGGAGTCTGGCAACTCCAACTTGATAACTGAGTTGGAGAACTTGCGGAAACATGTGCTGGAGATGGAGGGAAAGGATGAGGAGATTACCAAGACTGAAAATCAGTGTAAGGAGCTACGAAAGAGGCTACAAGAGGAGGATAGTAAGAGGAAAGACCTAAGGCTGGAAGTGGAGAAGCTCCAAAAAAGAATGACGGAGTTAGAGAAACTTGAGGGTGCCATCAGCATAAGCAAGGCTGAATGTGCACAGTTACACACTGCTCTAGAGACAGAGAAGGGCCTCACCAAAGAGCTCTCAGATGAGGTTGTAGCTCTCAGGATCCGTATGAAAGAGATCGAGTCCTCTGAACTTAAGTTAGAAAAGTCCGAGCTGAGCCTTAAGGATGACTTGAGCAAGCTGAAATCATTGACTGTTGCTTTGATGGAAGAACGAAAGACCCTGATGGAAAAACTGAAGTCAGATGAGAAGAAAAAGGAGGATTTGAGTAAAATGGTGAAAGTTGAGCAGGGTACAGTTATGGAGTTGACTGAAAAATTGATAGAGGAAAGCAAAAAGCTCTTGAAGATGAAATCAGAGATGGAAACCAAAGTAGAGACTCTAACCATAGAAAAGGGGGAGCTTGGCACTAAGCTGACCTACGAAATTGATAAAACTAAGGATCTTAGTGCTAAGGTTGGTCAAATGAAAAAGAGGTTAGATGGGTTCGAGCAAGCAGAAAATCTACCAGTAAAGAATTCAGTGAAATGTGAACTGGGAAGAATGACCGACCCTGTCAACAGAGAAGACAACAAAGTTAAGGAGCTGACATTTGAAATTCAACGCCTGAAAAATCGTCTCAAACAACTTGAAGTAGTTGAGGGAGATTTGATCAAGACAGAGGATCAGTACGACATGTTGGAGAAAAGGTTCATGACTGAACAAGACAAAGCCAACATTCTTTCCCAACAGGTGGAGGAAATGAGGGGTCAGATAGCACGAAACAAAGCAATCGAAAAAGGAGAGGAGGAAAGCCAGGAAGTAAACCTCCGACAACAATGCAAGAAAGAGGAGGCCAAAACCAGGGAACTGCAGGCGGACATTGTAGCCCTCAAGGAGAAGATCCATGAACTGATGCACGAGGAAGACCAACTTTCTCAGCTCCAAGTGGATTACTCTGTCCTGCAGCAGAGGTTCTTGGAAGAGGAGGAGAGAGCCAAGAACATGGGCACTGAAGTTTTCCATCTCACCAAAGAATTGGAGATAGCAAAGCGTCATAGTCGAGCGCTAAGGCCTAGTTTGAATGGGAGGAGAATGGTGGACGTTGCTGTGACATCCACTGGAGTACAGACAGAGGCATCATCAACTGGGCTAGCAGAGGAGGATACCCCAGCTGTGTTTATCAGGAAATCTGTTCAAGAAGAGAATCACATCATGAACAACCTCAGACAGAAGTACCTAAAGAAGCCAACAGAAAAGAGTGGTGTTGAGCGTTGCCCTTCATCTGGCAGTGACATGGGCGTGAAGAAATCCTGGATTCCCTGGATGAGGAAAAAGGACAACACCCCTCAAGGGAGCAACATGGGGAAGCATCTGCAAATTAATGGTGATCATTTGACTTCTGAACTGACAATGTCCCAAAAGCAAGGGCAGCCTTTACACATTCGCGTAACACCGGACCACCAAAACAACATGGCTACTCTTGAGATTAGCAGCCCCACTGCTGAGGACGCTTTCTCTAGCTCAGCTCCCCTCAGCCCCAACCCATCTCAACCTAAATCCAGAATTACAATCATTCCCACCTACTCTGCTCCAACCCACAAGAGAAAGTACACCACTGGACCTCAGGGCCCTGAAAGAGCCAAGTCTCCAGTCACCATCACAACGATATCCAGAGCCAAGTCTCCAGAAAGCAGCCAAGCCCCCTCTTCTGCGTCAGGTAGGCCCTTGTCCCCTGTCTCTATTATGACAGTGAGCACAGCTATAGTGCCGGCAGCATCTTCCTCCCCAGAACCCCAGGAGATGACCATGGGCCGAGCTGTGTTCAAGGTTACCCCCGAGAAGCAGATGGTCCCAATGCCTACACGGAAGGGCCACACCAGCACTAGCTACATCACAACCACTGACGATAACAAGATCCATATTCATCTAGGCAACAGCATGACCCCAAAGATGGTAGTCAGGCCGGTGGCTGCTGCAACAGAGAGCAAGGAAATGACCTTATCAACTGGGACAGTTTTACGCTCCCCCCGCCAAATCACCACCACCACTACCAGGAGCACACAGAGCAAAGTGATGAGCACTATCACAATTTCCCCTGTTGCATCCAACACTTCCAGACCCACACAAAGCATGGTAAGTTCTGCTTAAAGGTTCAGTTCATCTAAATTATGGAATAACATGTTTGCCTATGTGTATTTTATTAGTTTTGACCATTCTTTGAGATACATGCCCAACAGCAATTTACTCCGTTCATTGGAAGTACTTGCTAGCAAAGAAATCAGTAAAAAAAAGTCAATACAGTAAAAAGTAATAAATATTAAAATTCACTTCTGTTGGAGTGGCTCTAAAGCACCTGTGAAAAAGTTATCTGTTTTTTGGGGGTATTTTGTTTCCTTACAGAAAACAATGTGTAAAGGTGACAATGTGCTGTTTTATGGTCTGATATTAACCAGGATAAATTGACTACAAAGCTCCTGTAAAATGTCAAAATTGTCGTTTTTGCACATAGATTTTTGTACAGATTAAAAAGACAAGATGTGTTAATGAGTTATATCTAGATTTAGAGGTGATGGTAAGATTGTGTTACCTTTGGACAAAGCCAGGCCAGCTGTTTCGTCTTTGTGCTAAACTGAGCTATTGCAACTGGTTAGGCTTATATATAATGTACAGAAATATATTGATTTTCTCATGTATCTCAGCCATAACGAGAATAAGCTCCTTAACCAAAATGTCAGAGTATTTCTTTAAGATGCTTCTTCTTCATATTCTACATATATTAAAAGTGATGTTTAATAGGGTGAATCTTTTTACTAACGGCTGTATCTCTAGAAATGGGAGATGAAGCAACACAGTTGGTGTTCCATTGGACCTTATAATATGCTTATAATATGTGGGTCGGATAGCGTGACAGAAATGGTCCTATGCAGGCCTCAGAACAGCAGAGCTAATGATGTGGCATTTTGCCACTCTGCTAGAGTCATGCTGTAATTTATAGTTGCTAAACAGTGTTTACATTCACAAACAGCCTGGCAGGGCTCAGTGCCCTCTGGCTGACACAGAACAGCCTTGCACCAGTAACAACACATTGAAACCTAGCCTGGACAAGGGCTCACCCACTGCGATTGAAGTGAAGGAATGAATAAATATTTGCATTTTTCATTCACACAGCTCCTAGCACATATGATCAGTTACACTGTTTAGAAATTCTGAGTTATTTATTTTGCTATAATGGGTTTTGCCTCTTTTCCATTATTTACTCTTTGGGTTCCCCTCAAGTGCTCCCCTGTTTGTATTCTTCTGCCTGAGAAACTGTACTCTCTCTCCCTATTGTCAACAGACTGGGCACGATGCCCAGCAACCTCGCACAGGGCTCACCCGCATCCCAATGTCCAAGAGCCTGAAGACGGGGAAAGCTGTGCAGGGATCCCTGGGGATCTCGGGTGGAGTGAAGCTAGAGTCACGAGCTGACAGTCAGTCTGTGAGGATAGAAGTTAAGAAGTCCACTGTAAATAGCAATACTTTACAAAATGGAGGAAAAGCCTGATTGACATAATAGTACCAACAAAATACTCAAACATATTTGAAAATGGTGCTTCAGAAAGATTATAACAATGCCCACAGGAAAAAGCTCTGATTTCCCTATCTAACTCAGCTAGACATTACAAGACACATTTTATTAAATAAACCATTTGTAATTTTTATAAAGTATTTTTGTACTTGTCTATCTCAAATGCATTTCTGCCATTTCTCTGAATTTACAGTGTGTATTGTGATGGACATTTAAATATTGTATCAGACCGTGCTGCTACTAACTGCTTTTTGCTTTGAATGGTTGTCTCACACATAAGGATTTTGTTGATAATACTTATATAGGACACATTATAAGTCAAAATACTTGTCATCGTGTAAATTTTGTTTATTTTTTCTGTAAAGGATTTGTACTGAAAAGTATTTCAAATAAATGTTTTTTTTCAAAAGGTAGTGTGACATGCTTATTTGTGTAGGCAAGTAAGAAACACAAATATGCAGCAAAGACAGAGAATGAATTGTGCCAGATGTTTTGCATGTGCGTGTCTCGTCTGTGTAGTCATAGTAAGTCAGGCTTTTAAAACATTACAATACCCTTTGAATCCTCTAGGCAGCGCCTACATCCACATGTTACACTGGACCAAAGGAATTGCCCCAGTTTTTCTCTATTTGTTATTTCAAATGTATTGAAGCAAAAGCTCCATGTAGCCTACTGATGTATATTGGTGATTTTTAACAAATTTCCATATACGTAGTTTGAGACAAAGGGAAAATATTATGCTTGTATACGGAAGCAAAGAGAGGCCACAATAATCTTAGATTGATGTATTTATAGAGCACATTTAAACCAACAGGTGTTGACCAAGGTGTGTTACAGGGAACCACAATTACATTATCTAAACAAAAAAAATAGATAAATAACTGTAACAGACAAAAAAAAAAACAGTTTAATCATTATATTGGAAAAATTAAGGAGACTCAAACGTTGTTGTATTTAATTGCCACTGCCCGAATGTACTTGACCTGAATATATTTTTTGGATAATGGACACTTGACTTGAAAATTAATTTGTCAACACACATGTTTAAACTTGCACGAGGAGGATTCAAACAACATAAATTCCGATAGGCAGATGGTTCTCAAATTCATTTTTGAATTTTATAAATTCTTAGTGATTAAAAGTTCCAACTGGATGTTAAGTTGCTTGTAATATTTTAAATCGTGCTGCCTATTTTGCTTCCATAGTCGGAATTCAATTATAAAACACAGATTTTCATATTTGAATAAAATGTGTGTGCACGACACACAATGTGAGAAAGGGGCGTCTTCGTTTTCTGCCGTGACGCGGCTCTTACGTTTGATCATCCTATTGGTTTAGACGCTTCCGGCTTCTTCCTCTTCCATGAGATTAACAGGACAGAACAAATAAACACTACAATGAGTAGATATTTGGATTAGATCGGGGGTAAATTTCCCTCCTTAGACAGTTGTACCCTTTGCTTTAACGAGTGGCCTCGTGTTCACTCTGCTGGGATTAACTAAGGAACTACCGGCTGTCAACTAATTTACAGTCGATTGTTTTGCCCAGAAGCGGATTGCAGCCATGATGGCGTCAAGCTACAACGCTAAGGAAGAGGACGGGCACCACCCGGGCGCATCGAATAACGGGGGCGCCGGGGTCGTGAAAAGTAAAAAGCCAGACAACACCGCGTTCAAACAGCAGAGACTACCGGCCTGGCAGCCCATCCTGACGGCAGGCACCGTGCTGCCCGCTTTCTTCGTTATTGGTCTCATCTTCATCCCCATCGGCATCGGCCTGTATGTCACTTCAAACAACATCAAAGAGTACGAGGTAAAGCAACAGTAACGTCTGTCTTTGAACTAGCTAGCTAGCTAGGCTCTTCTAGGTTTTTCCACACAGTCCATTTCTAGTTTTTTCCCCCTAGTCCTAGAACACAAATAATAACTCTGTTATACATTTTTTTACCATTTCTGAGCCTTTGACATATTGAAATTACAGTCTATACTCTGTTGTCAGTTTATTTATTAGGTTAGCTAGCGGCTAACGTTAAGTTAACGAACGATAGTCCAAACTAATACAACAGCATTGTAATCGATGGACGGTTGTGATGTTCAGTTATGGGGGAAACTATTTTTTTAACGAGGTGTTGAGTGAACTTTTATGGTTATTCTGAGGATGTAGTTAACGTGTGTGGTGCTGTCGAGTTGTATTGCATTATAATAAGAAGTGTTTCTGGTATTTTGTCCACACATTTATATCAGAACGTTAAAAACACCTCTTTGTATTGCACCCAATGGTTTTAATGAGCCTAGACAACCCCTTTTAGTGTTACAATACGGTAACAAACATATTAACAACACAACGATTAAAAATAACTAAATCCTCCAAAATAAACTATAATCTCAATTCAATAACAACTGAATATTGTGTTATGTTTATCTATTGAATATACTGGCTTCTCAGTGTATAAGGAACAGTGTGAAACAGTATGCATCTATTTTAGGCTACTTTATATGTTCAATTCTGCTATTTAAAAAAAACAACTAATCAGTTCCTCCTTTTCAGATTGATTACACTGGTGTAGAAGTCAACAATGCATGCTACAACTGTGCCAAGAACTTCAGCTGGAACAGCACAACGCCATGTCTCTGCTCGGTGCCCTTCACATTGGAGCAGCCATTTGAGGTGAGCACCAGCTTGCACCCAATGAATAATACATGGTGTTGTGCAGTAAAAGATAGAAACTGCCCTCCTGACACTAAGTGTCCATTAAGATCTATTCTGAGTCCAAACAAAGGCCGTCATTATCATTGATCATTCTAGTCTGAAATTATCCAGGCTGGCAACTTCCAGAAAGGCTTATATTGATTACTCATAAAAGCTCTCAGCCGGTTGCTTTTTCCTCTCAACAGTTTGCAGATCAGACAAACCAGTGTCACCGAGTACAGCTTAGATGTCGGTTATGATTTAGCAACTTTGCAATTGTTAGGCGCAACTAAAATGAAATTGAGGGAAAATGAGATTTGTCTCATCTGAGAGCAGAAAGAATCCTACATTTGATACAAGTGAGCCTTTTGTTAAAAGTAGTTTAGTTCTGTTTATGGTGAACTGATGATCCAAAGACTCACCGACGTGCCACCTTACTGAAGTACTTCCTAGCCTTTACTGATGCTCTGTCTATATCACGATCTCCCTCCTCCTGCAGAGCAATGTCTTTATGTACTACGGCTTATCCAACTTCTATCAGAACCACAGACGCTATGTGAAGTCCAGGGATGACAGCCAACTGAATGGTGACCAGTCCGCTTTAAAGGTATAGCCTTTGGAAGTGTTGTACCATTTTAATTTCAGTAAATGTCATTTGCATCCGTTTAACACTGCCTGCTTTTTACAGAGCCCCAGCAAGGAGTGCGAACCGTACCGCACAAGTGAAGGACAGCCCATTGCTCCATGTGGGGCCATCGCTAACAGCCTTTTCAATGGTGAGCAAGAGACGATGAACAACTTCACATTTTTTCTCCTCCTCAGCACTGATGGGATCAGTGCTTCATATGTGGTCAACTAAAGTGTGATCTGATCATCAAAACTCCGACAAAAACTCTTGACATCAGTTTGCAGTTGAGCTCGTGAGCTGCTCTTACTCACTGGAACAACATTGAATATAATGTTTGTTTGTTTCAGACACTCTGGAGCTGTATCATATTGATTCCAACGGTACCAGAAATGCAATTCCTCTGGTAAAGAAGGGAATCGCGTGGTGGACCGACAAGCACGTTAAGTTCAGGAACCCCGGTGGAAACGACAACCTCACTGTAGCTTTCCAAGGTAATTAAATCGAACTGTGCACGAGATATATTTGGACCCATAAACAGTGAGGTTCTTCTGACTGGCTTGGTGTGTTATCTTGTTCTTTCTCAGGCACATCTAAGCCGGTGAACTGGAGGAAGCCGGTGTTCGAGATGGACCCTTCAGATCCCGAGAACAACGGCTTCATCAATGAGGATTTCATCGTGTGGATGCGCACCGCTGCGTTACCCACCTTTCGCAAGCTCTATCGCATCATCCAGAAGAAGTCTAGCACGACCCCAACTCTACCCAGTGGCAAATACATCTTGGAAATCACTTACAGTATCCTTTGAAATATAGCCAGACACTCCACTGCACAATCAGAACTAGAACTAGCCCGTGGGGTTGGCGAGTGTGTCTTTTATTTCCTTATATAAAGCTTCACAGGGTAAGATTTTTATGTAGGAACACACTCATCTTTGATAATCTTAAATCACATGTAGTTGCAGTAAATTCACATAAGTTGGCGAACAACAAAACACCTAAACAACAACAAGTAAATATTTGAACAGATTTAATTTTGCTTGTTGTCAGCTTGCAGGCAACACTGTACTGATCCCAGTTCTGTGTGTTTGTTGTCCATGCCAGGTCCTTTGTGAAGGAACCGAGTTATCTGAACTATGCTGATTACCAAAACAGGTCATTTAATATCCGTACATGTTCCAGAGTAGAGGGGTATCTGGGTTTTACTCGGCACAGCTATCCAGCTATCTCAGTATGATTTAAAAACTATGAAGCCAGAAGCTCCAATCGTTTTTCTTTTAACCATGTGATCATCAGATTACCCCGTGCGCAGCTTTGACGGTCGCAAGCGGATGATCCTGAGCACCATCTCCTGGATGGGAGGGAAGAACCCTTTCCTTGGCATTGCCTACATCACTGTGGGCTCCATCTGCTTCTTCCTGGGTGTGGTTCTGCTCATCATCCACCATAAATATGACACCCGCAACAGCAGTGCAGATATTCCAAGCTAAGCTGTGCTTGTACCACGTTTTCCTGTCTGCGCATGCATGGTTGACCCGAAAGGGTCCGTTCTGGACTGCTTGTTGACTTTAGCGTGAATACACTGGTTTCTGTTATTGTTGTGTGTTTGTGTAAAGACAGCATCATCTTTAGTGCGTCATCGAAAGCTGTGATTTTGTGAAGTGCAACGAAGGCAAAAGAAGGATGCTCGAGTCTGTGTCTCTGTACATATAGCTTCAAAACAGCTGCTCGGAATGTAATTTCCTGTGTTCAAAAAAAATTAATTTATCTTCTATTTATCTATACACAATCAAATTATCTGTTTTATTTTAGCAGGGCTTTGCGAATGGCTTATTTGCTGAAGGATGTATGTATTTTTAATGCAATGTTTGTCTATATTATGTACTGTAAGATGTCCTGCTGATGAATGTACCATTATATTTAATTGACATACCGCTGGTTTTTGAGATTATCTTGAATATAGGATGGTAAAATCATTGCTCGTATGCCGCTGATTATGGTAAGCTGCTCTTCAACAAGAATTATTTTATCCACTGAGAGTCCGAGTACTCCTCACAAGTACTACCACAAAAGTGTGGCTATTTACCCTCTGCTTGTATAAAGACTCTAAGCCAGTCATTAGGTATCTTATTAAAATCTGATGCTTATTAATGGTGGAATCATAATCTTACGCCGCCATATCAAGTGGTCGCAATGTTCGCAAGACTCTGGGCATTGTCTCAGGCTGATTGGAGCACAACCATGATTTTGTTTTTACAGTTTGGCCTGAGTGTCAGATTATGTTGCTTTCTTCAATGTTGACCAAATGATATGCACTTTAAAGTGTCACATTTGTTAGTCTTCCTCCTGGTTTCACGTCATCTTCTGTTAAAGTATTGCATTCTTGATTTATTAGGTCAATTGTTTAAATTTGAAATTTTTAGGTTTTTATAACGTTTGTAGGGTCCAATTAAACAACTTGGTGAATGTATTGGATTAATTTGTGATTTTATTTATTATCATCGGTATTAATATCATTACTATGATTATCAAATAGCACACTCATAAGAATCTCACGCGACCGGATGTAACGTGCCCACCAAGGGATTGTGGGAAGTCAGACTGTCAGTGTTCGTCCTTGTGCTGTGCCTTTACCTCTTGGCTGAAGATAACACCGACGTTTGCCAAAATGTATAGACAAATTATGGTAAGACAGTTTGTATTTACCGTCAAAATGTCCAGTTTTTTAAATTAAAATGTTAATGGTGGGTTATTATGGCGTAATTGATATGTAAGCGTTTATAAGGTTAGTTCCTAATGACGAGTAACGGTCCTGAGCCAGTTTAACGTTTTTAAATTAAGTTTGCTAACTTAACTTCCAGCTAGCAGTTGAGCGCGAGTCATAAGTAGAAATAAAATGTATTTAATATAAGAAATGCATATATTGTACTCCTTGTACCCTGCTGTTGTGTGTTAACTCGTTACCTCATAGGTTAAGCAACAAGTCCAGCATTAAAGCGCGTGAGGGTGAACTTTGTGACGTTATAAACCTATGTACCCTATAATACCCTATGTACCCTATAATACCCTATGTACCCTATAATACCCTATGTACCCTATAAAACCCTATGGATGTTACGCAAGAAGCTAAATACTCGACCTTTGACAGGTGTATTGATTTGCTCGTTTCAGCTAAACAACAGTCACTTGACGCGTATCGGGGACGTGCTGGTGAATGCGGGCAACTTACCTATCGCCAAACCAAGAACTATCATCAAATAATGTTGGACATCGTGCACTGACGGAGAGCTGTATATATATTTAGAACTAAATACCGTAATATACGGAGACGGCAGTGAGCTGAACTCTGTTTTGACTCACTTTGTTGCCTCTATTCCTTTAATGCAGTTGTAATACAGAGGGTTGGCCAGCAGATGTCACCATTCTGACTAAGGTTTTTAAACTATGAACTGTTATTAGCACATTTGCTACAAAGTGGTTCAGTGTTGTAGTAATCAGCAATTTCAGTCATCACTGCTTGAAGTCAGCTTGCTGGTCTGTCATAGAAGCTTTGCTAACGTAGTGTTACTTAATGACACGGCTTTTTGGGTCATTTCACATCCTGTTTCAGTGTTTGTTACTGTTTGTCATGCTCAGATTATAACAGTTTGAACTATAAAAATCCTCCATTAAAGTGTTTGTACCACCAGGGGCTTCGGCAGCTTTCCAGGCGGACCATTACCAGCAGTGCCCGCAGACCGGTTGAAAACTCTGTGAAGGAAAAACAAAAACTGTTTCAGGTAGGGTTGCTCCTTTTGAGGACAAGGATGACACCTGTGAACATGTGATCAAATCAATATCCCATCTGTGTTTCAGACACATCTGGCTCGGTGTGTAGGCAACGTATTTCATACTTTGAAAGTAACGATGTGCCTGTTTGACACGAGATTTATAAACTACATTCGTCAGTGTTTAAAGTGAGACAAGTAGAGTGATACTGATAATGTTAAAGTGTCTACTTTATTCCCAGGTTCTGGAGACAGAATCTATTTTTTCCTGTTTGTAGCCCGACAGATAAGTATCCGTGGATTTTTTCCCCCTCCTACAATGTCAAAACAACCTTTGGCTGCAGCTGGTCCTGGAGTTATGCTGATTATGCTTGCCAGCTTCCAATTAAATATCCATTGCAAAATCAACGTTCCAGTGTGGCAGGCTTTGCTGATCCGCGCGTAGCGCTAGAAAATGACTGCAGTCATATTTGACAAATGGCCTACCCTCGCTTCTAAATCCCAGAGCAAGCACTGTTTTGTTGCATAGTATACTGTGCGCCACCACTTAATTGCTATGGTTAACCAAAGATGAGCTCCACAAAATAAATGTAATGCCATAGGAAACAGAGACACGTGAAGCAAGACGTCGTTACCATAGCCTGGAAGTAGAGCTGTCTCTTTTAAATGACTACATTCTTCCTTTGAACAGGAGGATAACGGTATACCTATCCACCTGAAGGGCGGCTCGAGGGACGCTCTGCTCTACAGAGCCACGATCACTCTCACTGTGTTCGGTATGTCAGCATTGGTCTGAGATTTGATGAGTCAGCCTCAATATCCACGTGTATCAGTCCGTCCTTTTGTATAAAACCACATTTCATGCCGGGGACCTACCCCCGATGTTATTACTGAAACTGACTTTGAAAGCTAAATGACTGTAATTTGATGATGCATCATGAAGGGTCGTTTGAAGTCAGGATAATTGGTTCGTGTCACATCTGTAATACGTGTCTGGTCTCTCCACAGGGACTGGATATGTAGTGTACGAGCTGTTTAGCGCGGCAATGCCCAAGAAGCCCCATTGAAAGAGGATTGGACTTATTTATCTGATGAGACAATCATCACATGCTGTATGTAATTCATCAACTCTGTGCTCAGATTTGTAATCTGGGAATCCAATCAACTATAGTATGTTTCATTTGAAATATTGAATGATTGTAAAAAAAAAAGTAATGAGCTGCAAATAATAATAAAAAATATAAGCCTACGTGAAATTGTCACTTTTTGAAACTTGATTCCTGCTGTATATGTTTGGCAAACTTTCATATTGATCTTACACGAGTTAGATCTTCACACATCATTTGAGTTTAGCCGCAGTGAGACTGCAGTGTGTTTGTAACTGGTGTATTTTTAATCAGACTAGATTGGATTTCCTTCAATCCAAACCTGTATGTAGTGCAGGTCTTTGGTTTGAGCACTAGAGGGCACCATAAACCAATCTGTTGGAAGCGCTCTCGTGGCAATGAGAAGTAAGGTAAGTTGTTCCTAAAATACTTTACTTTTCCCAACAACAACCAAAAAAAACAATTAATACACTTGTGAAATATTGGGCTACCATCATTACACTTGTCTTTGTTTCTTAAAGTGTCTTGAACGCATTATGGGAAATATCCACGTCAAGATGCCAAAGCCATGGGGTTTTTGTTTATCAAGCGAAAAATTCGACTTTTAATTCCCACGACATCTGAGTCAATAAATTAGCTAAGGTTGCCTGTTGCGCATATACAACACTTCCCCTCTCGGTCTCGTTTTGGCCAGCTGTTACCCCGCAGTGAAGTCACATTGGCACTGGAAACTCATTAAATCACCAGACCAAAGGAATGCTGGGAAAAAACAGTGGATCGGTCTTAGCGGGGAACATTACGCATCGACTGACAGGCAGGGGTTTCGTAAGATGCCCATATCATGGTAAACTGAGAGTTGGGAACTGCCCCCCCTATTAAGTAGCCGATGGTGGAGAGATTCTTCCCACTTGGAAAGAGGCTTTTCCTTCTTTGACATCTGCTGGCGGAGCTTCAGTAGCCAAGGAGAGGAGAGAGAGGGGTCCAGCCGCAGCTCCTGAAATCTTTACTTTACTTTCCAGAGGGGAGGCTGCAAGCAGGCTCTCTGCAATTTGGTCGGTCCATTTTTTTAGGGGGCTTAAATAGGTGAGTTGACTAACTGTTATTTATTGTTTGAATGTTACTTGTAAAAAAAATATAACTAATTTATATTTGAGAGAATATCGTTATTTTGTCGTAGTTTTGTACATTTAGTGCGTTTTTGCGATAATTGTATCACTGTAGGCTACGTTTGATGAACACCATTAAGATCATTTAGATAACTTTTTAAAGTTTTTTTTTTAAAATAAGTTACTGTTTTCATGATTTCCCCCTCAATCACGTTAATGAACTGAATTGAGTGAGAATGCAACCACACACCATTGGTTTTAAAAGTGGGAGTAAAGCAGAGCAAATGTAGGATATATAAGGCAGACATATCAAATGTGCTTTATGTGTAATATTAATCAGATGATCTCCAATTGTGTTCGAGGGGCCAAGGCAGTCATTTCGGCCCCTGTAGCTGCAGTTTTCGTGCTTGTGCACCAGGCGGGGCGCACAGCCTGCGGTAAAAAAAAAAGACAGTATTTTACTGAAAAGAGTTCAGACTATGCTGTGTGAACGTGGTCTTGTTATCCGGTAGTAGGAATAGGATTAATTCATTTCACTGTGCTATTTAAATGCCCTGACGGTAGGAGGTGAGTCCATGTCAAAGCCATAGTCCAGCCTTGACTTCTGTAACTGAATCTAACAGTCATAAAGAAATATATTTATTCCAAGGGAAAGTAAGGAGTTAGGCAATATACGATTTGAGACAAATTAATTTGTGATTTGTACATAAGGAACTGTTATCAAGATGCTCCATAATGTTTCATGTGAGTATATGATGAGTATAAAGTATATGATGAGTTTTGTGTGACCATCCCTGGTCGGGCTGAAGTGAGTGAGAGCCACAGGTAAGACGATACTGCATGTTGTGAGCTGCATAGCGACCCACTAGAATGATCGTGGCAGCTAGGGGACAATGTCTTTTCCGATTATGCTTATGAAAATCAAACAGATGAACGTGTAAAAATGTTTTACATGTCATTACCGATACTAAGTATGCACCTCAGGGTGTGGGAATTCGACTGGAAGCAGCCAGGTGTGGCACTTGTTGTGTAAGAGAGTCTGGATGGATCTTGCAGTCTGTCAAAATTGAGAGTAATGAATAAATAATAAGAGCTATCAAAATTGATTGCATTTAAAAAAGCAAACAAACAAAGAAACAGTGTGTGGGTTCACTGCATACGTTTCATATACATTATGTGCTATTAGTTTCCGTTCTCCAACTCCAGCTAAATCTGATCTTCAGTAAGTTAGTCATAAATGTACATGTCCTGCATGTGGTGCCTCATTACACCACACTTACAAAGCTGTGTCACATGCAGCGTTGAGACATTTTCTGTCTTTACCCTCAGACTGATTGATCTGCTGACCCTTCACGGCCAAACATGAAGATTGGGCTGTCACTGGCCACAGCGGCCTTCCTCGCAGCCCTGCTGTGCTGCATAGATGCTCAAGGTAATTGAAACCACTTTGCATCAGTCCACTCACATACACTATCCCACTCTGTCTCTTTATCTCCTGCTTCTCTTCTTTCATCTTTATATCTCCATAGGTTCTCTATGTTACAGGGATTAGTCTTTTACTCTAATGTCAGAGAATCATCACATGCACACTGAACTCTTTCTATTGATGAACTGAATAAAGTTATCCTTGTTTTATGTGTATGCTATTTGACTATGTGACTTTTGGACTGCTGACTGATTCCGTGATATACTTGTCATGCTTTTATGCCTCATTTGTTGCGTATGTTGTCAGATTTATCTGTCAGGACTCATTACAGGCTTTGATGTAAAATCCAAATCTTTCTCTCATTTAGTTGTATTAAGCCTGTAATTTAGATTCCTTTAAACCAATACTTCAGGAGCAATTTTGTCATTCAGATGCGGCAAATATATAAAAAAAAAAAAACAAGCACACTACTCCGTTTATTTCATTTAAAATTTTTAATTGAAAGGCATTAAACAGCAGGCCGCAGAGTTGAACAAAAGTCATTTCATGGCTAAACGTTTGCCCGTAAATGTTTTAGGTAAGCCTTTTCCCTTTTATGATAGCAAGCCTCTGCACTTTTTCAAAGGGAAATGTGGAAGATTTCCAAGTCCTTGGTAATTAGGCATTGAAATGCTAGATTGCATATTTTAAACTTAATTAGCTGAGGTTGTAGTAGGATCTTGTAAACCTGTGTACGTCTGTGCAGTGGTTGTGGAGTGGCTTTAGCTGCAAGTAAAGTAAGTCATTTCATTACTTGTGCAACATCATAATAGTACAATAGTCTTAAATCTTACAAAAGTTTGAACTGCATTCAACATATAAACCTTGTTTAAAGTAGCTTAATGTAATTGAGTTAGCAGAAAGTCAGATAAATGGAATTATCAAATAGCAAGCACTGCAAAACTTAAGTGCCATACTTGAATAACTGTTACTTTCCATGTCTGATTTTGTGCTTATATATTACTGTTTTAGTAGCTATTAAATACTTATTCCAGTACATGTCACACCAGCCAACCTGTCAAAGACTGTTAACAATCTGTCAGTAGTTTTGACATAAAATGACTCAAAGTAATTTCATATGCAAACATTTCAGTCTAACATAATGGCAAATATAGAAATATGGTACGGAAACCAGCTGATTTTTCCTTTTAAAAGCTGTCTGGCGGCGTGAGAGGAGTCTAACGTCAACTCTCACATATCTCCACCAACGGAGTGGAAAGATGAAATACGAGAATAGCTAATTAATCCTCAGACAGCGCAAAGACAAAGAGCCTTTCTAGGGCTTCTTTGTGGGCATTCGCAAAAAAACGCTAAGTTGCAATACATATGGAAAGTTAATATGCAGTAATGTTTAATGTCAGCACATGTTGTGGAATTACTTTGGGATCTGTCCCGCCTTTTTGGGAGAGTCGGTGTTCTTTCCTCCTCTTCTTGGTCTCTCCTCCTGGCAGCAGCTCAGGCCAGCATAGCTGGCTGGCTGGTGATTGAGGCTCCGAACAGAACAGTAACCAGACTCTGGCCCTTGGAACCAAGAGGTGTCCTTTATTAGGAACTGATGGGACAATCTATATAACAAAAGCAACCGCAATGTCCCAATAACTTTCCAGAGATGTTTTTGTTTGACATAACCAACTTTTGTTCCTTAAGTATATTTCAAAAGCAGGAGGACATACGGTCGATGACGTGCTCATAAGATCTCGCCACAAACAAACGTGGGAGTTGCAGATTGCTCGTGCAACTAAAATAATTGTATCTGAATTTTTCAAATCACCATCCATCGCTACTTGCTACCCACCCCCAACTTCTACACACGCACACCCACACACACTTCCATTCCCCTTACCATTCAGTGTTGAAGATACGTACTCGCGGAGAAATCAGTTGGAGCACGGCCCATCGGGGCTCCTTGAGTTGATAAGTCAGGTTGGTGATCCTCCAATCCCAGTTTTTAACTATTTGGTGGGCTCCTGTTTGTCATCTGCCTGTGCATACGGTGTGTCCCGAGCTATGGCTTCCTCCATAAAGTGTATTTTACAATGATATTCTGGCCTCCCATGGCACTCTTATTCTACTTTACAGCTAGCATGAACCCACATGGCGGAGCTCTTTGCTCATGCCTTCCAGTCGAAAGCATGCTCACTTACCTTACATCACCCCCATTGTGGTATGCTACCACTGTGAGTAACGTAGGACGTGGCTAAGCGCTACATATCAGTGCAGATGACGTCATGCTCACCTCAGTAACATCTTTCATGTTTTCACAAAATTAACAGAACTCATCATGTCCTCTCTTCTGTCTTCTGCCATTGTGTCACTATGAAGATCTTTTCATAAAATATGTTTTCGAGCCGTGTTGCATGAAACAAGAATTTTGTTAAGATCGTTTGCTAATGAATGACGAAATTAAGACACACATTGAAAACTAACCATAGGATACTTTTTAATCGGCAGTGGGTAACTTGGTTAAAAAAAACATGAATTTGGTACTTTTAGATCCGGCTCTAACTGTTATGCATGTAAATGACACGTACTAAATGATAGCACACTTTTGCTCACTAACACTATC